GAACTATTGGAACAAAGTCAATCTATCAGGAAGAAAGCTGCATTTCTTTTGTCTCAACAACAACCTTACATACATCCAAACTTGAGTGAGGAGTCATCTCTGTTTCAATGCTGAAGCTTCTTTCAAAAGAATCCTTTTGTAGAAGTTTTTTTTATTTCAAAAATATACTTTATTCATACAGATATACTTCATATACACAGTCACTAAAGCAATTTGGTTCTGTACAGTAGTGTATGAAAGAACAAACAAACATTGGAGTTTAGGCAGCTGCGACCAAGGCATAGTGAGGAAAGATCACTGTCTGATGTCCTTCTGCCAAAGTAAATGGAGGTTTGTTCAATTATTGAACCCGCTTGGTGCCTCAAATATATGTAAATAGAATCTTGCACAAGTAAGAGATGCCTATTGCAGATGAATTCCCCAGCAGAAAATTCAGTTTTCTGGGTAATTTCTTCAGAACGTGCTTTGATGGAGACTCCGCAAGGTACCCATACAAAACTCCTACCTATGCTGGCAGAAAATCTGTCCCTTTATGTTAAAATTTAGCTGCACCAATAAGTTAGTTAAGGCTGTGAGAAATAACACAATGTGGAGCTGGAGGAAAACAGCAGGCCAGGCAGCATCAGAGGAGCAGGAAAGCTGACGTTTCGGGTCAGGACCCTTCTTCAGAAAATGACTGTAAATCACTGCTCAGGTTCATTGGCAAGTTATCTGACATCTTAATAAACTTGAGCTGGCTTTGTTTCAAAGCATTGCTGCCATGTCAGCATATGCCCTAAAAAGGCCAAGTTCTCCATGTCCTAACATGTGTAACAGCTTTCGAGATATTTTGTTTTCAGACAGATAAGCAAACAGGAACAAACCATTTGGCCAAGTAGGGCTTTACTGGTTGGACCAGGATTGGGCTTTCCTAGCTGCCAAGAAAGTGGGCTGCCTTCTTGAAATGCTGTAGCTCATCTGGCATAGGTAGACACTCAATACCATCAATAGTCTGTGTGCATGTTCCAAGACTTTGACCTAGCAATACTACAAAGACTCCGATATATTTCCAAGTCAGGATGGTGAGTGACTTGGAGGGGAACTTACAAGTGGTGGCATTCACACATAGCTGCTGCTGTTGCTCTTCTAGATGAGGAAGACAGCATGAGAGAGATGCACGGGATGGGTAAACAATGAAATTATGGATAATAGGCAAGGAAAGAAGAAAAGCTGAATAAGTAATAATAAGAGCCAAGAGTAGGAGAAAATGAGTGTATTGAATGCAACCCATGTTATATGGAGTATGTAAGAATGGGTAACTGTGCTAAAAGCTACCCCTATGATTAATCAAACCGGGTGTGAGGTGAGCAAAAAAAAATGGAAAGATGGAATCAGGCTCTAAAGTTATTGAATATAATGTTGAGTCTTAGAGGCTGCAGGGCCACCAAGTGGTAGATGAAATGTTGTCCTTTGGGCTAGTATGGAAGTTTGCTGTAACAGAAACATTGGCCAGGGAACATGGTAGTAGTCTGTTGAAGTGGCAGGCAACTGGAAGCTCAGGGTCATTTTTGTGGACAGAACATAGGTGTTCTGCAAAGCAGTCACCTAGTCTGTGTTTTGTTTCCCCAAATGTAGAGATCACATTGCAAACAGCGAATACTGTTTTAATTTTATCCTCTAAGTACAGACAAAGTGTTGCTTCACTTGGAAGGTATGTTTGGGGCTTTGGATGGTGAGGAGGGAGGCAGGAAACATGCATGTTACACCTTCTGCAATTACACACGATATGAGATGTTGGGAATGCAGAAGTAGACCAGAGTGTCCTGAACGGGACGGGGAGGGCGAGGGCGAGGGCTGGAATTTGTGTCTGGCTGTAGCACCTCATTAGAAGTGACTGTAAGTGCCATTTCTGCTTTTTGGATGCAGAGGCTGGGAGGAAGGATATGGTGAGTGAGGACTGGGGGACCCTATCACTGAGGGAGGGAAGGAAAGGAGTGAGGGCAGAAGTGTGGGAGATGGGTCAAGCACGTCGAAGGGCCCTATCAACCAAAGTTACAGGAAACCCTCAGTTGAGGAAGAGGTGGACGTTTCGGAGGCAACCGTGTAATAGGTGGCAACAGAAACAGAAACTGGGAGAATGGATGAAATCTTTACAGGAGGCAAATTGTGAGGGTATATAGTCAAGATAACTGTGGGAGCTAGTGAGTTTGCAATGGATATCAGTGGCAGCTTATCCCTAGAAATGGAAACAGATGTTGAGGAAGGGAAGGGAGGAAATCAGAAATGGACCAGGTGAAGGGGAGGACGGAGTGGAAATTGGAAATGAAATTGATAAATTCATTTCATAAATTCATAAGTTCAGAACAAGAGAGGGAAGCTGTAGCAATGAGGTCATTGATATACTGGAGGAAGAGTTATGGAGAAGGACCAGAGTAGAACTGCAACAAGACATGCTCCATGTATCCCACAAAGAAACAGACATAACTGGAACTTATCTAGGTGGCCATGGCCACTCCTTTGACCTGAAGAAAGCAAGGGGGGTTAAAAGGAGTTGTTCACTGAGGTTGAGCTCAGCCAAGTACAGGAGTGGGAAATGGGAAATACAGCTCAGGCTCTTTTCCAGAAAGAAGCAGGGAGTCCTAAGACTGCTGGGTGGATGTGTAAAGGGATTGCACATCCATGGTGAAGAGAAGGCAACTGAAGCCTGCGCACTGGAAATTTTCAAACTGAGAGAAAGCATCAGAAGAATCACAGATGCAAGCAGATAGGGTATAGACAAGGGAAAGGAAAAATGAAAAAAAAAAGGGAGTCAAGGTGGGAAAAAAATAAGTTCCATGGGCAAGAACAGGGAGAAACAATGGGTCTGCCTGGGCAGTCAGGTTTGTGGATTTTGGGAAAAAGATAGAAGCTGGAGGCTGTCAGGGGGAGATCACCAGCTGAAATGAGATTGGTGACACTCGTGAACACAATGACCTGAGGCCCAACAGTGGTCATGGTCTGGGGAGGCATGAAGTGGTGTCTGAGAGCTGGTAAAATCAGCATCTGCAACGTAGAGGTCAGTACCCCAGATTACAACAACACCACCTTGTCAGCAGGCTTGAAGACAAAGTCAGGATTGGATCTGATAACAGAGTGCAGTCAGTTCGGAGGGAGAGGAGTACAAATTGGTTAGCGAGGCAGAGAAATTAAGACAATAGTACATATTGCTGCTACAGAATGTTAGTTATGGAGAGTGAATGTGGTACCAATCAGGCAGATTGCTTTGCCCTGGTTTGGTGTCAAGCTTCTTCAGTATCATTGGAGCTATAGTCATTCAAGCATGTGGGGATTATTCAATTATATGCCCGAGTTGGGCTTTATGACTCTTAGACAGGTTTTGCAGAGAGAGGAGGCAAGTTACCCACTGCAGCATTTCCAGCCTCTGATATGCTCTTGTAGCCACAATATTTACATGTTGAGTCCAGTCAGTTTCTGCACAATGATAGTGCCCAGAATGGTGATTTCTACCTCAGACAGGAGACCTGCATTCAAGTTGCACCTGCTTTAGGAGGTGTGCAATAACATCTCAGGCCAGTTTGATTAGAAAATATCCAGCCCAAGGACCAAAAGCTTTGTGGTACAGTGGTTGTATCTCTTCTTCTGGACTAGAAGGCTCAAGTTCAAGTCCCACCAACTCCAGGGCATATCTACTATGAGCAGGAACTTCTACACAGACAGACATTCTAGAGCAAAGATAGATGACCTTCAACAACCTCAAACCTCTTATGTGCCACGTATGATTTCAACTAGAGTAGAATTTTTGAATCAAATGTTAAGGACAGTTAACTGGATATTAGAAAATAGTAAGGTAGCAAATTTTTTGTTTTGTTTCTTCTTCGCCCACTACAGTGGCTTTGGGGTCACATTTCCTTGGGTAGCCAGAATCAAAGACAGCACTTTAATGTTGATTGAGGGAAGGAACATCGGTTAGGAGATTTGAAGAGATCCTGGATGTTCAATTAGTACTGTTGAACCTTTCACATCCATCTGAGCAAGCAGACAAAACTTCAGCGTAACTCATTCTAGAAATATAACCCTGAACTACACTTCCTTGAAGTTTAAAGTGTAGACGCTGTCATCATGAGACTTTGAATTCAACAGTTGACTTGGGTAACAGCCACCATAATACATGTGGAAGGAAGGTATGTATATAAAATGCATCTGAAATTATTACATTTTTAAATGTAGAAGGCACTTTCTACCTTGATGCGGGTGTGGAATAGGGGTGGAGGGAGGAGAAGAGCTTGTACTAGACCTAAATTAGGTCACTATTAATACTGTGCACTTTTATACGCTTGCTACGGTGATGTAACAAAAAGTTAAAAAAAAGGTGCAGCTTAGATTCACTAATGGATGTACTGGTGGGAGTTCAAACCAGAACGAGGAACTGCAATAATAACTTCTTTTCTTGCCTCATTTAATGTTTATCCAATCCGAGTCATCATCACACTCTGTTCATATGTGGAATTGAAACTATCTTCAAGGGCACTATTCATATACACAGTGTAACTAAAAGGGAGAACAAAGTGCCAGATTATGAAAGATGATAAAATGATCTGGGAAAAAAAAAGGCAGCTAATTAAAGCAATAAGAAGCTGAGTCATACAGACCATACTGGTGCCATGTTGCCATTAGTTAATCATATCTGATACAGTATAGCAAACTGCAGTTTACACCACAGGTAAGCTGGAAATTGCACATATTGGACACTGGTGAGGATTGAACATTCTCAGCTTTGATGTCTATCATCATTTTTGAATGGAAAGAGCCCATTGGCTTACAATTGAAAATCTAGTAGAGGAGGAAAAAAAAGTTAATAACTCAAATATGCAAGTTTGTGCAGCAGCATGTCTGAAACAGAAGGTTGGAGTGTCAGCATACAACACAATATAGGTACACACAATTTAAAGAATCTTCCACTACACATTTTACACTGGTTATTATTTCTTTAAATTTTTCATACATTTAAGCAAATTCAAATGTTTGAATAAGTTTTTTTTAATAGCAGGCATAACCAACTCATCTACAGAAATAAGAACACATTCCTGTACACCTGTTAATTTAGATCATAATTGTTAAAAGCCATACATTATTCATTATACAATAGTTCTTTCCCCTACAGTCATTCTATAGTTCAAAGCTACTGATGCAGAAAGTGGAAAGAGCTTCAACATCTCAGTTTCTGAAACAAGTTTTGACACTTCATAGACCATTGTTACCAGAAAGTGTTCAAAGTTGCAGCCATCTGTCTCTTATGACCTATTTTCTATTTATTAATTGCTGCTGCAGAGTTTGCCATCAACAAAGCATCTTGTTTTTAAAAAGCCATGGCATGATTTAACTGGATCAATCTATTTTGAGAGTCAGATGGAACAATGCTGAACGAACAATCCTGAAATTTAATAGGTAATGAATATACATTTATCAATAACAGTCCAGTTGGATCAAGGGTATACAAACAAAAAAAAAATCAATTTGCTTTTTTTCAGATTCTGATGAAGTGTTCCTATCAGCATATTTTTAAATTTCAGATTCCAAACATTTACAGTTTCTACTTCATGAATTCACAGGATTCAGGCATTGCCGGCAAAGTTAGATACCTATCCTGAATGCCCTTCAGAAGGTTCTGGTAAAAAGTCCAGCTGAACAGTCACGGACTTCACAATTCTGGCCTCAAGTATAATGGGCAAGATCAGATCCCAAAACAAACTTCCACTTACATCACTGAAAAGTGCATCAGAAATTGTATACTTTCTATCATCCAACACAAAAACTGCCAATTCAATCTAGAAAGGGGATAAAAACCAGAGACTAATTGACTGTCCTATGTAACTCAAAGATGGACATTTCCTTATTCATTACGGTGATTCTTTACAAAAATAAATTACATTTAAACAAAAAAATTGCACTATAAAACAAAAAAGCAGGTTGGCAATCTAGACATAGTACATTTCCACTATAAATTTAGTGTGCAGCAGTTTCTGCTTCATATTCATATGAACATGGAGTTAGGGTTTAAAAATCAACTCTGCAAAGTACTCCAGGATATCTAACTCTTCTTTTCGAAATGAGTTCAGGCACTGAATTTAAAATGATACATTTACACAATCAAGTGCAAAGGCTTCTCACATAATACGTAATTTTAAGACTGACACCAAATATTAATGTTTCAATTGCATTACCATTGATGCAAAATGGTATAACAATTTTTGAATTTAAGCTCAAATTAAAATTGAAGCAACCATCATGTAAATGGGTGGGTTTGGTGACAGGATGTGGAAGGGAAGTGGGGAAATAAGGATTTTTTTTTTTTTTTAAAAAAAAAAGACTCTGGTTGACTGCTTCCATTATGAATAGCAAGACTCCATCTGGGGAAGGATTTGATCACAGATACCAACAAAACTACTGGTGGAACTTTAAATATGTAATATGTAATCTTTGCTAACCTGATTCCAAATTAGCTGCAGCAGCAAATACAAGCAGATAATTTAAATCACTTCCCCAAAACGTGGTACTCACCTTCTCTTTCATGTAAAATGGATCGCCCACTTGTAAATATGTAAATGTTTCTGCATTTGTAGACAACTAATTGAGCAGCTAGGATGACAGTCAGATCTATCATTCTTTCTTACAGACATTGGTTTAAAACCATTTTTTAAAAATTAGAATAGGGTCTAGTTACAGCAATGCAGTTATTAATTTTGCATGGGGTGTGGGTGTTGCCAAGGCCTGCATTATTGCCCAGGCCTGCATTATTGCCCATCCCTACTGCCCTTGAAGAATTTGTTGATGAATCATCACCTTAAACAGTTGCAGACCATGCAGTGAAGGTAACCTCTGTTACAGAGAGGATGTCCCAGTACTTCAATTATCACCAATCCTTCATCACTGAGTCGAAGTCATGACATGATGGGAATTGAAACAAAACTCAGAAGTGACAGGATTCCCATGTACCTACTGCACATTTCCCTCTAGAGATAGAGATTCCATTGAGGTTTTCTACCGATTACCAGACATCACTAGTATATTATTCAGCTATAAGTATGTGCCTTTATTATAATGCAGTTGGAATTAGAAACAGAAAACGAGTGCAGTTCTAAACAACACTCGAGAATCTCCATGATTGGCAACCAATCCACTATGTTAAACTCATTCCCTCTACCACCAGCACACACAGTAGCAGCAGTCTACAGCATCTATAAATGCATTGTAGCAACTCATGAAAAAGGTCCTTAGATAGCATTTTCCAAACTGATGACCCCTACCACTTAGAACAAGGGCAGCACGTACATGGAAACACTCACCACTCTGACTTGGAACTATTATCACTGTTCCTTCTCAATCATTGAGTCAAAACACTACAACTCCCTCCCTAACAGTACCTAGATGAGATGAACTGTAGCAATTCAAGATGACAGCTAAACACAACTTTCCCAAAAACAAAAAAAAAGGGATGTACAATAAGTGCTCACATTGCATTTATCATAATGAAAGTTATGTCAGACATCATCTGGAGAACTGAACCAGGCACTAGACTGCACAAAAATTATTTCAGAACCGAAAGGGCTACACCATGGATCCACTAGAATGATACCAGGATTTAAAAAAAAAAAACAAAAAAAAGAGTTAAATGAAACCATGTTTGTGTTTTTGACTTATGAGTCAAGAGGTAATCTAGTCAAGCAGTTCTAAAAACTAAAAGTTAGATAAGGTAAATACAATCAAGGGGGGCATGGAGCCTAGTACAAGTAGGCATAGTTTTTCAAATTACAGTCAGACTATTTAAAGTCAGGAAGCACTCTTTCACCTAAAAAAAATCACAAAAATCCAGAAACCTTTTTCCCCAAATGTTTATGGTACTATATTAATTGAAATCATCAAGAATTGGACCAATAATAATTTCTAACAAAAGCTTAAGGAATGGATAGAAGGTACGTAAACAGATTCGAGGTAGAAATCAGTCAGTCTGAATGAATAGTGGAACAGAAGGGGATCAAAACGACACTTGCATGTAGGATACAGGTTGCACAAAACTGGGCTACGCTGCCCAGCTGCATGGACCGAATAAAACCTCTTTTCAAGCCCAAGATAAGAAATACGTAGAAACAGCCTGCAGTAAAGTGGTTCATCAAATAGCTGGAATGCTGTGACGCAGATTCAACTCATTCAAGCTTCTGAATGAGTGTTGTGCAGGAGGGAAAGAGAAGAACAAATCTTTTGATAGGCAAAATAGCAGCAATTTCATTCTGTTGGAAGAACTAACAGTAGCATTGTTTTAAGAACTTCAGACACGTAAACTACAAACCAGAAAAACACTTCTTGGCCCTCACTGAAAACTTCAAACATTCTGAGCATCTTCACATGATAGACCAAATCCAAAGTAAAAACTCTTTCTCTACTATATCAGAGAAAGTATTATTAATAAAAAGGCTTGATATTACGCTACAATGCTCTTTTTTTTTTAAAAAACAAAGGACCCAATATAAAAAGGACATGCTGAAACAAGTGAAAATGTCTGTTAATGGATATTTTCACCACAGCTAAACATAACAGCAAGGGTATCCCATATTCCCCCAACCAAGGTGACTATTGCAGAAAGTTAAAATGCCTACCCTCTGCTTTAAAAAGGTTGGGAGACATCATTATGATTTATACTTAGATTTGTTAGAGATTTTACTTAAAGCAGCCAAAAGCCACCTCTGTGTCTGAATCAAGGAGAAAAACTGGCAGCCAGGGTTACCTTAAATATCATTAGTGATGCTGTTTATAAAGTGCTTGACCAGACATCAGGTCATAACATGATCAGGCTCAGCTGTGATGCCCCAATGGTCAAATAGCCCATTGGTACATAGTGTCAAGACATACACGAGGAAGTCTCTAGGACAAGGCACCAGAGAATGGTTGACACACATGGAGCTGTGTCCAACAAGAGATTAATGCTTCCAAAATGGAAGGGAATAAAATTGTAAATATCCAAACTATAGCTTAGAAAAAATAAAAAAGTTAATTATTAGAAAATAAAAATTACAATGGAAAGATTTGGCTCCAATGTAACCGCTGCTTCTGCGTAACGGGAGCACTCCTTTACTTTCTATAGGAGTAGATAAGTTCTTCCTAGACTGTTCTGCCTTGGCAGGATACAAATCCTCTGTGTAATACCACAGTAGAATTCTATGCATTGATGAAGAATACTCTCAAGTTAGTAAGTGACAACTTGCCAGTCAGTTACATCCCAATCTGTTTTACAGGAGGATTCTGAGATAATGCTCGCAAATGCTATATAGAAAAAAGAAGATCTTCTTTTGATTTGTAGCTGTGTCGTAAAGGGAAGCAGGTCTCACAATATCACGCAGCAATTGCTTTCGCCTGCCTTCTCCCGATTTCTTTGACCTAAACAAAAAAAAAAGAGACAGAGACAATCTGTAACAAAAACAGAAAAGGTGACTAAAACAATAATTTTAACCCTATCCTTAAAGATAAGATTTTCAGTTTTCCTAAGAACCTATTTGGCTAGATAATGCTTTGCAGAATAATACAAAGGACATTAAAACTTCTTCACTTTTCTTTTACCCTTGCATCGGTCTCAATAGTTTAATCGGGTAAATGTCAAGTGCAACAGTGAACTGCTAGTCTTAACTTGCAGATTTTTAATCTGTCCTGACATGCCTATGACATATCCAATCAGAATGTAACTTCTGCAAATAAAAACCCAAATTAAGCCTAGACATTAGGAAATATGGAGATAGAGATGAAACAGGAGGGGACAGAAATGACAACGTGGGGGACAAAGAGTCATTAAGACTATAAGACCATATGAAATGGGAACAGGAGTAGGGCATATGGCCCTTTGAGCTTGTACCACCATTCAATAGGATCACAGCTGATCTGACATTCTTTATATTTTGTATTAACTAACTATCTTGGCCAAAGCAGTACAAAGTCATTTCAAGACACAGAAGAACATCAAGACTAGCAGCTAAGTAGATTTTGCCTTTGCTAAAATTCTGTCCTATTTCTGGATATTTTTAAATTGGGGGAAAAAAAAAGGTCCTGCAGGCACACACGTCAATTTTAACATTACGTTCCATGGTAAATGGTCGTGACAATGATGGATGTAAAGTTTTATTCAAGCCTTGTTTGGCACTGTAAAAAGTCATTAACAGCAAAATACACACAATTATATCACATGCAATTTCTGCCAATCCTGATATAATACTTCAGCTAGGCCAACTGACCACACAAACTTCCTCTCCTCAAATATTGTTAACCTTCCCAAATCCCCATAGAGATACACTATGTGAAAGTTAAATGATACTTTTCCCCTTAAAAATGAAAGAGTTTGCTGGGAGCTAAGTGCCTAGTTAATACTGAGCTAGTCAGACCTGGAAATCCAGGTGCAAATGCCAAAGTAGGACAACTGTTAGAATGGCTTGAAGCAGAGAGTCAGTTAGGATTTCTAGTACTTCTAATCTAATGATCACATTTGGCAAGGACACAAATGTGGGCACGGAGCAACAACAGATTATAACTTCAATGTAATACTCTCCATGGTTGAGCAACCTGTGAACCTTGTAGATGAGGCTTAAATGTAAAGAATAATTGTTTGAATCATGTACCAGACATTTGTTGGTACCCTGGAATCATACCTCAACAGGAATTCTGCTTTCAGATAAACAAAAATTAAGAAATAAAGAATTTATATTATCATTGCCAATTACTATTCTACTGCGAAAAAAGAAGTACATAACCACTTCAATAATGTTAGCTCTGAGTACACACATTGCATGACTCAGCCTTACCTTGGGAGTTGGGTTCTGGCAATGTCTCTCTGGCAACTAAGTGCATCACTGTCATCCTTCCAGGAGGAAGCTTCAGAGCTTTGAAAGACAGGACATATGTTTTCAGAATATATTAGCATAACAGACATGCACAAAACCAAAGACAATCTTGCAAAATTAGTGGGAAGGTAGTATTTCAGTAGGATAAAGGAATATGCACTCTGATTCTGAGATGAGACAAGTAATGCTCTCCAGGGATCTGCACGGAAAGCCTTAGATTCTCATCATCATCATCATATTTAACAATTATTTGGAGGAAGTGAGAATATACTGAACTTGTATCGATAGAAATCAGAAGTTACATACAGACATAAGTAAAATTTGGATACAGGGCAAGGTCATCCAATTTGTTTTTTCCCCTTTTTTGCGTTTACAGTATTTATCCAATTGGTGCAATATTAGGAACTGTGGAGAAGCAAACTCATTCAAAATTTGTATGCACACATCACTAAAGTCAATTAGATGAAAAGCAATCATAAGTTTAATAGACTTTTGGTCAGTACCTCAAGAGGGCTGAGATACAGTTGTATAGAGCTTTATGGTAGGTACGATACAAATTCATCAGCACAATAGCCAAGCTTATGAAATAAAATCATTTGCATACAGTTTGCTTGCATTTCCAGGGGTCTAAAAGATCAACTGTGATAAAAGCACTAAGTTAAAAAGTACTTGTAGCATAGATGCAGAAAGAGTATTTCCTCTTGTGGGAAAGACAGAATATAATTTTAAAATTAGAGCCAGGCCATTCAGGAGCGAAATCAAAAAAGATTCTGCACACAAAGGCAGTGGAAGTATAGTATTCCCATCCTCCAAAAAGACTGATTGTTAGATCAACTGAAACTTGAGATTGATAGCTTTTGTCAAATAAATTTATTGGTAATAAAAGGCAGATAAAGTAACCGAGGTACAAATCAACCATGATTAAATGAGAACACAAGGTGTTGATTAACATACTCAAAGAGAATATACAGTAAACATACATTAGGCCTTTCAGTATTTGATCATCCACTTTCAGAGACTAAGTTGCTGGAAGCATAGAGGTTATATTTACGATTTCTATTAAAATCAATGCTGCAGCAACACATTACCCAAACTTTCCAAAATCTTTTCATTTCTAAAGTATTCGACAAAGTTTGCCAACTTACCCCCCAAGGTAACATTTCCATGTAAAAACCTTCCTTGGTAAATGAGCCGGAGAATGCTGGGGCTACTGACCTGTTCTTCGTCCCAGTCTGCAAATTGAAAAATAAACATCTCAAAAAGTATGTTGTCCAAATACAATACTGCATCCAATACTTAACACTGGAGCATAGTGGCATTTGAAAATGGAGAGCAATAACAACAAAATCCAAAACATTGCTTTAGGTAAAGATCAGGGCAAGCACAAAAAAAAGACCAACTTTCTCCACAGTTTCAAAGAAATCTGGCTCAAATTTTCACAACAGGGAAACAGGGAGGGGGAAAATGAATATGGTCAGAAAGGAAAAAGATTTGTCAAACAGCTCAGTTGGAGGAATGATTTTACTTTAATTTTTAAAGCACAAAAAGAGTGGGAAGAAAAAGGCGTGGTGGTCAACGAGGAGAGGTGGCATAAAAATGGTTGAGCAGTATGTTTTTGTAAAATAATAGGGTAGGCAATGGCCTAGTGGTATTATTGCTGGACTGTTAATCCAGAGACCCATTTTCTGGGGACCCAGGTTCGAATCCCATCATAGTAGATGGTGGAAATTGAATTCAATAAAAATCTGGAATTAAGAGTCTAATTAATGCCATGAATCCATTGTCGATTGTCGGAAAAACCCATCTGGTTCACTAATGTCCTTTAGGAAAGCAAACTGCCATCTTTACCTGGTCTGGCCTACATGTGTTTCCAGACCCATAGCAATGTGGTTGACTCTTGACTATCCTCTGGGCAATAAATGCTGGCCTAACCAGCAATGCCCTAATCCTATAAACGAATATGAAAGAAAAAGCCTTCTGATTATTCAGTACAATTGTCAGCCATGGATATAGGAAGATCCCAAGTTTGATTACTTCTTAAATCACTTTGTAAATGACCCTGGGTATTAATTACGTGTTGACCAAAGAGGTAGGACTCAAAATTGTGTTTGGCTGTTTCTTCCCAACAATGCTCTACCACACTTTTCTCTTCACCACCCTGAACCCCCTACACACATACACACAAAAAGAATGGGCTCTGAAGAATCAGTCCACATTTTGCCTTTGTTGAGATCCCTATGGGGAAACCATAACCAAAAAAAACAAACAAAATTTACATAACATCACACCTAAAATGACTACGCTGTCAACAAAGTTTCACTCTTAAGTCTTGCTTTAATTATTGGGCCAGAGTTGTGCAAACAGGAATTAACAGGAAAATAATACTTCAATTAAAATAAATTTCACTTTAAAAATAGTAAATACAGAAACCCCTTACACAACTACCCACTTTACTGCAGACTTGTGGCACTACATAGCTACAGAGTTCCGGAATACGCTGTTCCACATTCATTGAGAGCAAAGCAAGAATCCTATATTAGCAGAGCTTTCATCTCAATTTCACAAGCACGATCATTATCACCAAGGCATACTTCTACAAACCCTCTCTCCCTTAGATTAAGATGGTTTAGATTTCCAGACCTGCTTTTACAATTCATTGACAGAATGTGGGTGTCACTGGCTGGGCCAGCATTCATTGCTCACCCCTAAATTGGCCAGTTGAGTCAACGACATTGCTGTGGATCTGGAGTCACATATCAGTCAGACCAGCTGAGGATGGCTGATTTCCTTCCCAGAAGGACATTAGTGAGACAGTTGTGTTTTCTGACTATCAACAATGGTTTTTAAATCAGTAGATTTTTAATTGTAGATATTTTAATTGAATGCAAATTCCACCATCTGCCATTGTGAAGTATGAACCTGGGTCCCCAGAACATTTGCTGAGTTTCAGGATTAATAATCTAGCCATTGTCTCCCCAGCTAATAACATCTGTTGAGGTTGGGTTTATAAATAGGAAAATCATGTTATAACTGCAGAGTATTGTTGAGACAGCACCTGGTGTACAGTGTACAGCTTTGATCCCTGGATTTAAGAAAAGATGTACTGGCATTGGAAGCAGTTCAGAAACAAAAGCAGAAACTGCTGAAAAATTCAGCAGATGCGACAACATTTGTGAAAAGAAAGCAGACATTTTGGGTCCAATTGACCCTTTTTCAGAACAGACCCAAAACATTAACTCTGCTTTCTCTCCAGAGATGCTGCCAGACCTGCAGAGTTTTTCCAGCAATTTCTGCTTTTGTTTTCTGCCTCTGATTTCCAGCATCTGTGTGTTGTGTGTGCTTTTTTACTACTAGGCTGATGCTGGAGACGAAGGGGTTGACTTATCAAATACAGCTGAACAGGTCAGGCCCTTATTAGAGTTCAGAAGATTAACAGGTAGTGATCTTATTGAAACGTACAAGATTCTGAGGAGGTTAGACAGGGTAAATGCTAAGAAGAGGTTTCCACTAGTGGGGGAAATCTTGAATTAGGGGACATACATACATTCCCAACTATCCCCTATAACCACTCCCTTGCTTAATAAGAATCTTTATTCTTCTACTTTAAAAATATTCAAAGCCTGTGCTTCTATCATATTTTAAAGGATTAGAGTTCCAAAGACTAAATCCTCAGAAAACATTTTGCCTTATCTATTCAAAATATCCTCTCCATTCTACTCTGTCAAGACCATTCAGGATTTTAAATGTTTCAAACAATCAATTCTGACTTTAAATTTTAGAAGAAGATGAGCCTTGGCTATCTAAGCTTTCTTCACAAGACTACCATTCTGGGTATTAATCTTGTAAACCCTCTACGAATTGCTTCCAATGTATTAACATTGGTTTCATTATATAATGAAACCAATACTATACACAGTGCTCCAGATGTAGTCTTTTCATCGCCCTGTATAACTGAAGCATAACCGCCCGACTTTTGCATTAAATTTCCTTCACTATAAATGATAACATTCTATTAGCTTCCTGAAAAGGAGTCTTAAAATCATTATTAAAAATGGAATAGAATTTCTAATATTTTATAAATTTCTGTAAAGTGAATAAATTGAAACTAACCTTTCAATGAGATTCTTACACCAGGATATTTGTGGTTACATTCAGGGTTTCTCTCAAAATCTGTAAGTTTCTACCTCTTAAGCTTGAAATACATCAGTCTACATTCTCACCTCACTACATTCTTTTGAATTAATTACGCATTTAACACTTCCCGCTCTCTTCCTTAGAGACTCAGACTAATGAGATCTTTAATCTACTAGGTTTTGCCTTTTCTTTTATGAAACTCCAATGTCATCAAACCAGCATCTTCTGAATTTTGCCTCCCCGCCCCGCCAATTAATTAGTTGTAACCTCGGCTTTCAACATTGTCCCTTCAATTTGGTTGCTTAGCTTGAAAGCATCAAGATAAAAACCAAAAAAACTGCATTAAAAAAAGCAAAGGATCAAAGCTGTACACTGTACACCAGGTGCTGTCTCAACAATACTCTGCAGTTATAACATGATTTTTCCTATTTCAAAGTAACAAATTATCTGATGTTCTAGTTTTGCTTCCATGGTTCAGGATTTCATTCCAAGTTAGAACCAACATCCTGTGAGATGTGTTCCCTGGAAATTTAATACATATATCATCACAAATACCTGCAAAATACCTAGAACACTTACCCATTGGCCAGTTTTCATAAACATATTTGGCAATATCTGCAGCAGAATCATTCGGTGAAAACATAAACTCTTGCGTCTTCCCACTAACTAGAATAAGGCGCAGGTTTACCTGTAGACAATAGAAACGAGAGAAAATGAAATTGTGGCTAAATACAGAACAAAGTATCCAGTACAACTCAAACAAATCTCCCTCTCAGACCACAGGAGACTGCAAGCCTCAAACATTTCAGCAAGATTCATCTTGGACAGCTGAAAAATGAAAACAAAATTCTCACCAGACGTCCACATAGCTCAGAGCACATAGCTGCATAATCCAGTGCAATTAAATTGCACAAAATTATGGTATTTTAAACTATAAGTTAGCTAATCTGTGTGGGTGATGTAGTTGGTTTGCAATTGTTTTCAGTGGAGTGAGCCATGAATTGATGACAGTGGTGCTTGGATGGGGTCAAGAGAAGGAGATAGTAATTGAAATAGAGAAGCAAGGCTTTCTATGTATGGATAGTCACTGGAAATGTGTATTTATAGATGACAGGGAAGAGAAGAATCAGTCATAATGCTTCCCAGCACAGCAGTTAAGTAACCTGCTGATGTGTTAAATAGCAACTACACAACAGTTCCAGTACTGCATACATCAGTGACAAGAAAAAAAATTATACCTTAAGAAAAAGTACTTTTGAGCAGAGTCTAAGTGCAATTCACAGAATAGATTTTCCAGGCTAACTACATTCAAAAGAATGCTTGCACTCTTTAAATGACTCTTTAAAAATGGCTCGAGAAACAAAAAAAAACTCAGGTGACATGGTCTTTGTTAATTATAGGACAAACTGACAATGCTTGTAAAATATTATTGGCTTCTATAGAGTTCTGCTGGAAACAGAATACTAGAGGGCTGACAAAAAAAAAGCTTTGTGATCCTTGTAATTGTACAAGGGAGCAATTTTACAGTATGGAAATAAAAAAAAAAACAAGATAGATACAAATCAAAGACAAAAAAGTTGTTTGGATTCATACATTTGGTTACCTTGGAACCTTCTGTTTTGTAAAAATTCATGGGATGGGGTATTGCTGACTCTGGGACAGCATTTACGCCCTAGTTACCATTGAAGGAGGTGCACTGCCTTCTTAAACCACTGCAGCCCATTTGGTGTAGTAGATCCTTAGTGCCATGTGGGAGTCCCAGGATTCTGGCCTAGTAATACAGCTAGAGATGGTTGGGGTAGAGGAACACCTGCTGAAAATATCTTGGAGCAGAGATGACCGACTTCCAACCATAATCATCCTTTGTGCCAAAGCTTTCTCATCCAATTTCCATTTTTGTTTGAGCTTCTTGATGTGACACTTGGTCAAATGCAGCCTTCATGTCAAGCACAGTCACTTTCACCTTACCACACCACTGGAATTCAGCTCCTTTGACTGTTTGGACCAAGACTGTACGGAGGTCAGGAGCTGAATGGCACTGGCAGAACTCACACTGGGCATCAGTGAGCAAGTTATTGCTGAGCATGTGCTGCTGGATAGCAGTACTGATAGTCCATTCCATCACTTAACTGATTAGTGACAGGAGACAGCGCACAACACACACACCTGGGCAATTATCCTTATTGTCAGGTAAATGCTAGTCTTGTAGCTGTACTGGAACAGCTTGGCTGGGATTGTAGCATGTTTTGGAGCTTCATGTGGAGTGCATCAAATTGGGTGAAGACTAGTACATGATGCTGGGCTCCTCTTGAGAAGGCAGAGGTGGATCATCTGCTCGGCCCTTCTGGCCGAAGGTTTGACAAATGCTTCAGTCTTATATTTTGCACCAAAGTGCTGGGCTCTCCCATCACTAAGGATGGGAATGTTTGTGGAGTCTCCTCCTCCAGAGAGTTAGTTAGTTGTTCACCATGCATTACTGGATGTAGCAGAACTGCAGAGCTTAAATCTGATCCATTGGTTGTGGAAATCACATACATCTGCCTATCACTTCCTCTTATGCTAGTTGCCATGCTAGTCGTCCTGACATGCGCTTCACCAGGTAGATAACCTCATTTTTTAGGTATGCATGGCACTGCACCTGGCCTGCCCTCCATTCCCTGGTTCTTCACTGAACAAGGGTTGATAGCTTGATTATAATGGTAGAGTGGCAGAGGTGCAGTGCATGACACTGCAGATTGTATTGGAGAACAACTCTGCTGTTGACAGCATAGAGTGTCTCGTGAATGTCCAGTCGCATCAATGTCTGTCCCATTTAGCAGAATGATGGAACCATACAGCACAACGGAGGAGATTCTCAATTTAAAGGCGAGACTTCAGCTCCACAACAGCATACAGTGGTCACTCTTACCAATACTGACAGAGGCATCTGTGGCAGCCAGAATGTTAAGAGGTGATCAAGTTTGTCCTTCTCTCTTGTTGGTTCCCTCACCACCTGCCACAAATCTAGTCTAGTAGCAATGATCAATATCAGTGCTGCTGCCGAGCTACTCTTGGTGGTAGATCCACGGTGCGGCTTGCTAGACCAAGTGGAGGAGTACCAATTCATGAGCTGAGGGAGGATGGTACATGTTAATTAGCATGACATTTTCTGGCCCATGTTTATCTGATTCTATGAGACTACACACTGTCCGGAATCAATGTTGAGGAAAACAAGGGCAACTCCCTCATGAATGTTTACGACTGTGCCACTACCTCTGCTTGGACTGTCCTGCCGGTGGGTCAGGACATATCCGGGGATGGTGATGGTAGCATACAGGACATTGTCTGTAAAAGATATGATTCTGTGGGTATGACTACGCCTCAGCTAGTCTGAGAGAGTTCTCCCAATTTTGCCACCAATCACCTCTCAATGTTAGGAACGGACTTTGTTGGTTCGACAGGGCTGTGCTTGTCATTGTCTTCTTTAGTGCTTAGGTAGATGCCAAGTGGTCCATCAGGGTTCATTTTTTCTTTAAAAACTTTATCACGATTGTTAATTGCTTTTGAGATGGCCTTGCAAGTTAAATCACATTAGTCTTGTGTCACAGGAGTCACATTACTCCCTTCCCTAAAAAAAAGGCATTAGTGAACCAGACAGACTTTTCCAACAATTGACAAATGGTTTCTTAATTCTAGATTTTTTTTTTTATGGAATTCCAATTCATCTGTCATGGTGGGATTTAAACCCAGGTCTCCAGATTACCTTCTGATGAAGTGTACACTAAAAATTAAGGCATTGGACGCTATATTAAAACAACGGCAGATATTCCACCAGCAGCACCAGTTACACTGTAAAGACAGTTTTTTTTTAGGATTAGAAGTTTGGGGTAAAAAGTACAAAAGGATGACAATGTGCAAAGTAGACAAACAAAAGAAAAATGCAAGGGAAGTATAGATTAAAAGTTATAGAGCTAAGCAACTGACTGGTGCCACTGATTACAGACAGCCACAAAAGCAAAATATCCGGGAACAATAGGTACAAGCAAAGTCAAAGTCAGAGTTCATTCCATTGGTCCTTGCAGAGCCATCTGTTAAAGCCAGACAAGGGATACTCTCAGACTGGAATACAATTACACATTCGGAGTGAAAAATGAAACAGCAATAAATGGAAAAACACAGCTAGCATTTTAATTAAAAGCAATATCAAACTGCACAAACACACTCTAGCACACGACAAATCAAGTTTTAAAAAGTTGTAGTAGGTTAAAACATGGCCCATACAGACTTGTCTGACATATGCAATGACACTTGCACTTCCAGTGTTGGCTGTAACTTCAAGTGTTGATAGTATTTACATTCGGAATTAAATTACTTAAAGTTCAAAGCACAACATTCCCCTCAATTTGGCAATCTCTCTTGCAATGCTACATGGACTGAATGATTATTTTGCATCATATAAAATATTTAATCTAGCAGAGCAACAATAATTCATATGCATTCTAATGGACCGGATTTACATTTGTCAACTTCTTTCTTGACACTAACATTATATGAATAAAGGTCCATCTGTGCAGAATGTTAAATGTAAACGAGAAACCACACAACTGCACGTAATCACAAATCAGTCCGCAAACAGGGCTGAGAGAAAAATGAAATGAGCATAAATGTTGACAAAGGACAAAATGTCATTCAATTTAGTTAGCAACATGGACAATATGATGGCTAAGGAAATTAGCCATTATGCTCATTATCAGAACTGACCCACTTTGAGATAGAAAATTTGATCAAAAACTCACATTACATTCCAAAAAGTATCAATAAAATACACAAAAACCTGAAGTGTCATGAATGGCCAACTTCATAAAACTAGTGATTCCACATACAAACCAATCACCCTCCGCAAGAATAGCTGCAAATATTCTGATCAATGTCAATGACATTGTCCAGACACTGTACAACAATGGCTCTTCAAAAGAAGTCAGACAAAATAGTCCCTTTGCTCATGACAATATTTTTAGAAAAAGAAAGCTTTTGGGGGTACTCCTGGTTATAGATGACATTTCCTTTGCATTACAAGAATAATTCTAATGTAGATTAGAATCGCTGTTGTAGAATCGAACACAAAAAAAGGGGAACATAAGTGTGATAAATTTGGATTGCATCAGAATAAAAGGCATTGATACTAAAGGTTCCAACTGGCATAGCTGGACTACCCATTAGAAATCCTCAGCATATACAAATAAGACTTCTAATCTTACAATTTAAAAAGTTAGACACTTTGGAAGATGTGCTGCTCACAAAGCTCTGATTTCTTCTTGTAATCTGATCCAAAAGTTAAATATCAGAGTTGCTCTCATGGACAAAACAGAAAAAAAGAGAATAGCTGGAATGATTAAATATCATGTTTACAGTGCTGAAAGTATGAGCTGCCTCTTCACCATTACTCTCTTTGTTAGTTACGTCAGCAATCTGAGACTGCTGGAAACCGAGTTTAAGCATGACATTCTTTATTGCTTTAATATATTCCTCATTACACTATAAAGGCAATGATTAATGATAATCTCTAGGACCGCAGTTTTATAAATCTAGCAAGGACATATGCCATCAACTACAAGTGTTGCTATAAGAGATTCAATGCTGTAATTTCACCTTGTAAAGTGATTTGTAGCTGCTGGCCAACATTCTGGCAGCTCTTGCTATCCTCAGTGCATCTTCCAAATGCAGTTCAAATATGGAGTGCTAATTTATCACCCAGAGATTGCTTTGCCCACTTCTGACCCAATTTAACAAGATATAATGGGCTCTGGAATCAGTGGTGCAGACTTCCAGGGCCACCCCTGACTGACAGTATGTTACCACCAGTAAGGTAAAACTTACCAAGGGATGACAAATATAGGCAACTGGCATTTGGCTGACAGCTATGATTCTGAGCGTATGATGACCATGACAGACCTCTGCGCAACTCTGACAGCTCTCTCAACTTTGGCACAAGTAGCTAGAGATGCAAAGGAGATAGTAGGAACTGCAGATGCTGGAGAATCTGAGATAACAAGGTGTAGAGCTGGATGAATACAGCAGGCCAAGCAGCATCAAAGGAGCAGGAAGGCTGACGTTTCGGGCCTAGAAGGGTCTACACCTTGTTATCTCAGAGATGCAAAGGAGGTTGTTTCTGTGGCATTTAATAGCCTACACGTACATGTGTCCATATCAAATGCCAAGGTTGATGCAGAGTTGGCAGAGTTTTTAAATTATGCTTAGTCGCATGTCCTCAGATCCTGTCCACTGTTGACAAGTCACTAGCTCAAAGTGTGATGGGCATACTATCACTTCCCTGGATTAGAGCAGGATCAGCAAATCAAGAAGCTCAACACCATAAGTAACAGCCCACTAGACTGATACACCATCCACCATTTCAGTGGCAGTGGCGTATATCACCTACAAGATGCATGCAGCAACGCACCATGGCTCCTCCAACAGCACAATCCAAACCTACAGTGCTTTGACCAGCTACATCAATTATGGGATCACAGTTCTGTTTCTAGCATTTTTCTTCTACTGTTTAGCATGCATAGTAGCCTTGTGCTGTGGATTCATTAGTCTGGTACACCCTATGCTGTTCCTGACTCCTCCCATATTCCTCACTGAGCTAGAATCGGATCTATTGCTGGATGGCAATGGTAGAGTGAAGGTTACAGACTGTGAAAATTCTGCTGTTGCTGATACGTCTCAAATTCCCAATTTTGAGCTGTGAGATCTACTCTGAATCCGTCTCATTTAGTACAATGCCACGCTATCTTCAGTGCGAAGACAGGAATTCATCTCTGCAATGGCAATGTAGTGGGAATTCTTACTAATACCATCATGGACAGGTGCATCTGTAACAGATAAAGCAGTGAGGACAGTGACATATACATGTTCCTTTGCTGCCTTTCTCACCCTCTGCCGCAGGACTGAGAGTAGCAGCCATCCTTTATGATTTAGTAAGTTCGGTCAGTACTAGTGCTACAGAGCACCTTGTGTTAACTAAGCCTGAAGATGCATGTCTAGTGTACATTGTCTTTGTTAACCTCTGTGCTACATCCAAGTAATAATCATCATGGAAGAGCATCATTTCATCAGTAGAGGTAGGGCCTTAGTTGGTAACTGGCAGTTGGTTTCCTCATTCATGTTTCACCCAATGCCACGGAATCCATAGTCTAGTTAAGAATTCCCCCGGCCGCTACTTTTAACTATATGCCTCTGGTGGGCTGTCCTACTTGCAGGACAGGACTAGTCAGGATAGGGTGGAACATAGATTGCAAGATATGATTCAGTGAGTATGGCTATATCAGGCTGTTGTTCGACGTCCCTTTGGAACAAGCCACCCGATGCTACTGACAGGAAGTTTGCTACATTGATTGGGGCAGAATATGCCTCTCATTAGCGCATATGCTAACATCAGGTGACATAAAGCAAACAAAATGCTGGGGAAACGCGGCAGGTTTGGCGCATCAGTGCAGACAAAAACAAAGTTAAATGTTTTGAGTCCAATATGACTTTAGTTCTGAACAGTCTTTTCAGACTTGAAAACCTTACTGTTTCTCTCTCCACAGTTTATAATTTTGGACTACTTTGTATCAACAGCTTGTACTTGTATAACCTTATATATATCTTTAATAGGTGTCCCAAAATGCTTTAAAGCAAAATTTGAGCCATGCAAGGTATTTTAGGGCAGATGATCAAAAGCTAGGCCAATAGATAATTCTGACTTTGAGCATGGGTTAAGAAGGAAGATATAATCAGAGAGTCATAGGCTAGAGAACAATACAGGGGCAGAGAGGGGTATGGAGATATTCAAAAGCACGAAAGTGAATTTGATAATTGTGGCACTGCTTAACCAAGAGACAATACTGGCCACAAGATGGGTTCTTGATTACCTCAAGTTCACAGGGGATAGAATAGCAGCAAGGAGTGGGGTGAAATAGACAGGCCTAGAAGTAACAGAGACACTGTTTAGGATTTCAGGGCAGACAGGTTGAGCCAAAATAAGTTGACTACAAAGATGGTAATAGGTGATCTTAGTGATGGCACGTGTGAGGTTGGAAGCACACCTTGAGATCAAAACGACACCGAAGTTATTGAGAATCTAATTCAGCCTTACAGGTTGCCAGAAAAAAATGGTATCAACAGCTAAGGAACAGAGTTTGCAGAATGAATTGAAGGTTATGGTCTCAATTTTACCAATATTTAGTTCAGTACTGAGTGAGCACGAGACAAGTAGTTGATAATTTAACAGAAGACAAAGGATCTAAGAAGGGCAATGGTAAGTTAGAGCCAGATTCACCTATCTTCTGATCAGAGATGCAATATGTTGCAAAAAGTAGTTATCTCATCCAGTCAATCCAAATACCTGTCTCCATTCACATGATATGCTATCCGCCCATACAATCCTCGATCCTTTGCCATGTTCCTTTCCATGCACACGTTTTGCCACTCTCATCAACACATTCCAACTGCCATTTCACTCCTGTTGAGTACCTTGGCATTCCTCCAACAAGTGAGGAAGGTGCTCAGCATTCATTATCTAATTGCAAATAAAGATAAATGACATCCAGGCTTCACCTAAAATTTAAAAAGGGCAAGGACACAATCTATCGCCACCAGAATAAGGATTGAATCGCATGCTGTTGGTGTTAATCCAGCATGCTTGCCATCCAATCTACTTAGCCAAACCACCCACCTCCTCAAGAATTACCCTGCAGTCCAAATAAAGATTGGAATGCATCCAGTGTATCAGTGGTTTAGCTATCCATCACACAATCAGCTTGGATTACATTAAAACTATTAGACTTAATTCCTTTGCAAAAATTGCCAGCTACACTAGGATTAATCAAGATTGATAAATAACCACCATCTTCCTTTCTCCAATATCAACTACCACATTCGTCACTTTTCCCTCAGAGGATAAGCAGTTTATAATTACTTTTTCACACAAAAAACACATCAGTAGCATCTATTACTTCTATGCCCCCTGAAAGTCATATCTCCACTAACTGCTACATTGAATTTAGAATTAGAATTAGGTTTATTGTCAAACGTACTCATGAGTGCAGTGACAAGTTTACAAAGTCACCACTCATGGTACCATCTTGGGTACAAATGTACCTAGGTACAGAATCTTAGGAATAAGTTAGAAAACTAAAAAAAAAGGTTCAGCATCAGATTCCGCACCAGGCCACAGTTCCAGTTTTGATTTAGATTTACTTCCTTCTCCTATTTGACCTATCACTGTTAGCAATTTCTTGATAAGTACCCAGTTTCACATGCTCATGCACACTGTAAATGACTTCCTCTGCTCAGGCTCAGAGATAGAACAAAATTGCCTATTGTTACATCTTCCTATACTCTGCTTTAAACAAACAAACAAACAGCCACCAAATCATTCAATTCTACAAGGTCACCATCTCACTTAGACCCACACACTTCCTTCCAGTGATGTCAGACTCCTTGTTCAACATCCAGTCAGGAGAACTTCCAAATTTCATGGTTGCACAATGGGCAACCAAAGCTATTGTTTTCAGTTTCACACATTTATTATTGCATCTGTCTTCCTCTCCAGATGCTGTCAATGGCTGAACCATAAATACTCACAAACTCAAACATGCAGATTATTTCCAAGAGCAGCTGTTGAACCATTCCAACAGCATTAGTACCTTCAAACAACAAACCAAAGTAAGTTTATCAAATCTGAAAATAAAACAAAACTGACAATTAGTCAACCAAGTTAGAACTATAAACAGCAACCCACCTTATCATTAGATGTAGAAGCCATCCTGGAGACGTTTGTTAATTAACTATAGCACTCAATATCTAACCTTGATTTTATTTTCTTTGGAGGGAGGGGAATGGCTAGAAGACGAGTGTCTTTAATCGGAACTGGGAGGGCCCTCCAAGATTTGAAAGGAGTCCAGACTTGGGGGGGCACAGAATCCGCAGCTGCCCGCAGTCTCTCACTCTGAAAGGCTAATTTGTGGGCAGGTGCTCTGCCCTGACATTGGAAACAACCTGCCGATCGCCACCAGGAATTCCCAGATTTCGATCTCCTCCTTTTACAGTAAGTGGCGTTGTCAGTGAATTCCGAAATACACCTTATCATTAGGTATTGGTATAAGGGGGTGAGGAGTTAGCCTGGCCTGGGGGCTGTGTCCTATCGCATCCCGCACTGGTACAAGCCCCTTCCTCAGCGTAGCCTTCCCGCTGCCCCCCTCCCCGAGCCCCAGCCGGCGAACAACGTCTCACTACTTCATCCTGATAAAACCTGTCGCTAGCTGACAACTGTCCCGCAAAATTAATCGGAGTTAGATTTAAAACCGTTCATCCTCTATAAACAGTGAGCTACAGATGAGCCATGACCACAGCTTCACCTTCGCTCATGATTATAACCGGCACCCAGCAACATGGCGCCCGGAAACCACGTGTCATTCAGTCTGCACAGGCAAGCTGGGAATTGTAGTCTATTCTCCCTGAAGTCCAACACTCACAGATTAATATAATTAAAACAAAGAAATGCTGGAACTATGAACCAAAAATAGAAATCGCTGGAGAAACTCAGCAGATCTGGTAGCATCACTGGGGAGAAAACAGAGTTAACATTTCGAGTTCAGTGACCCTTATTCAGGATGTATTACGTTATTATAACTGTACCATACTCTTTAATAAAGTCAATATCCTCATTATCATCTCAGTATCTTTAAATATATTGCCTTATTAAAGAAGTATAGTTGGATGCCATGGAACAAACTTCAATTGTGCTACTATTCATTGTGAACGGCCACGTTATGGTTTATCTGGAAGACAATACTAAAAAGTTCATTGTGCTGCCCCTGAAATGTTTCTGGCATCTGTTGTCCACTTAACAAGGTGTCAAACCTAGGCAGTATAATGACTACCTAATTGCAACTTTTCTTGGCATCTCTTAGGGATGGTTCCAAAGTGCTGTTGGTGTGACATATTGGAATCAAGTCAACTTTTGTTTTATTCATCCATGTGATATGGGTTTCACTGGCTGGGCCAGTATTTATTGCCCTTGAGCAGGTGGTGGTGAGTTGACTTCTTGAACCACTGCAGTTCATTTTCTGTAGGGACATTAGCGAGTGTATTCCAGGATTTTGATCCAGTGTTATTAAATGAATAGCAATATATTTCCAAGTCAGGATGGTGTATGATTTGGAAGTGAACTTGCAAATGGTGGTATTCCCATGTATCTTCTGCCCTTGTCCTTCTAGATACTAGTGGTTGTAGATTTGTTAGGTGCTTTCTAAGGAGCTTGGTGAATTTTTGCTGTGCTCTTAGATAGTACATACTGCTACTACTAAACATTAGTGTTGGAGGGCGTGAATGTTTGTGGATATGGTGTCAATCAAGTTAGCTGGTTTGTTCTGGATGGTGTCAAGCTTCTTGAATGTTGATGGAGCTGTAGTCATCCAGGCAATTGGAAAGTATTCCATCACACCCCTGACTTGTGCCCTGTGGTCAAGTTCTAGGGAGTCAGGAGGTGAATTACTCATATGATTCCTAGCCTCTGACATGCTCTTGTAGCCACAGTACTGATATAGATAGTTCAGTGCAGTTTCTGGTCAATGGTAGCCACCAGGATGTTTATAGTGGTGCATTTAGTGATGTAATGATATTGAATGTCAAGGGGCAACAGTTATATAGTTCAATTTTATCAGAACATCATGGAAATCTGATAAAAAAAACTATGCGGGCAGGTTTGCAATATTCTAGGACACAATTTATGATTCACCAGGCTGCTCGCCCATCTCATTAAGGGCTTCCAAAAGTTACTTTAGGAATTGGAGCTCATTCTGCACCTGACCATAATATTCCAATCAAACTGTACTGAAGCAGTCCATGTCCAAATGCAGCAAAACCTGGAAAATATCCAGGTTTGGGCTGACAAATGGTGAGTAACAACAGTGTTACAAAAGTATGAGAAACTGACAACCTCCAATAAGAAAGAATCAAACTATTATCCTTTGACTTTCAGTGGCAAACCATTCCTTGCTTCATTTTTTAGGATAATGCCTTGACCAATCAGCATCAACATCTCTGAATTAAGTATTAACAAAGCTTGGCATGTAGTTGTTAGTCATCATGAACTGATGCATTCTATATTGCAATGCATCTACCAATCAAAGTTCACAAATCAGCGCTCTTTCTCATTTGGTGTTAATGTTGATTTCCCTTTTCTTGTATTTCTTGTGAGCTATCCTGAATACAAGACAAAAGCTTCAACAAAATATCAGAGATAGTAGGAACTGCAGATGCTGGAGAATCCAAGACAACAAGGTGCAGAGCTGGATGAACACAGCAGGCCAAGCAGCATCATAGGAGCAGGGAGGCTGACGTTTCGGGCCTAGACCCTTCATCAGAAATGGGGGAGGGGAAGGGGGTTCTGAAATAAATAGGGAGAGAGGGGGAGGTGGATAGAAGATGGATAGAGGAGAAGATAGGTGGAGAGGAAACAGACAGGTCGAAGAGGCGGGGATGGTGTGTTTCAGGAGTCGCAGGGAGAAACGCTTCTGAAGGATCTCAATGCTATGAATGTAAATATTGTCACGGTTGGGGCCAAATTGGGAACGCCTGAATGTGGACTGTAGTCCATTGGGGATGATCTGGTTCCGTAGGCAGGTACTAAGAAAGGTGATGTGGCTGTAGTACCTGGTTTGCTTCAGGACATGGTCGAGCAGTTTCAAGGCCGAAGAGATTACGAGAGAGTTGCAGTGGGAGAGAGATCCCCTGAGGTTTGTCCGGAGGGAGGAGGGTAACTTCTTCAGGCTAGGCATCCTTAGAAGAGGCTTCGCAGTGGGGTTAAAATTGAATCAGAGATGGTAGGAACTGCAGATGCTGGAGAATCCGAGACAACAAGGTGCAGAGCTGGATGAACACAGCAGGCCAAGCAGCACCATAGGAGCAGGAAGGCTGACGTTTCGGGCCTAGACCCTTCATCAGAAATGGGGGAGGGGAAGGGGGTTGTTTCCTCTCCACCTATCTTCTCCTATTTCCTCTCCACCTATCTTCTCCTCTATCCATCTTCTTTCCGCCTCCCCTTCTCTCCCTATTTATTTCAGAACCCCCTTGCCCTCCCCCATTTCTGATGAAGGGTCTAGGCCCGAAACATCAGCTGTCTTCAACAAAATATGTCTTTTTCCACCAATACTCAAGTTCTATGTTACCAAATGACTACTTTAGACTTTTGTCTAATCGCAGGTTTACATAATATGGCCATTTTCTAGAGAATTTTAAATATCTATTTCTATCTATATCTATTCAGCAGAATTTGTGACACATCAGATATTGAAGCACTCCATATCCAAATGCAGTGAAACCTAAACAATATCTCGGTTTTGGGCTGAGAAGTAGCAAGAAACATTTGCAACACACGACTGCCAGGCAATGACCATCTCCTACAAGAGTGATTCTAACCATCATGCCTTGACATTCAATGGCCATCCAATTACCATTGCTAAATCACCCACTATCAATATCCTGGGGGTTACCATTGATCAGAAACAGAAATAGCCATATAAATTCTGTAGCTACAAGAGCAAGTCAGAGGCTAGAAATTCCACAGAGGGTAACTCATCTCTTGACTCCCTAAAGCCTGCCACATCTGCAAGGCACAGATTAGGAATGTGATAAAATTCTCCCCAATTGTCTGGATGAATGCAGCTCCAACAGCTTGACACCAGTGTGGACAAGGGGCCGCTGCCACAGGAAGGAGTCAGGCAAGTTATTCTTCAGAACCCCAGGCTGCAGGCTGGGGGCTATAGGAATGACAGTTATGAAGGGGTGGTGGGTTTGGGGTAGGAGGCAATAGTATTTGCAAGTGGATATACAGTAAAGCATGTAAAAAAGAAAATCATGTGGTGGGGGTGGAGGGTTGGGTTTATCCACAGTCAGAAGTACCCTGACTTCAAGCGGTGGGTGAGTGTATGACGTGATACAGTCACCTCATATGCTGGGGGTGAAATTTGGGCAGGTGTAGGGTCATATGGAGAGGTTGGCTGGGGACCTGGGGAGGTCTGAAGACTATGGAGTTTACAGGAAAAGTGATAAGGAAAGGAATTTGGAAACTTGGAGCTCAAAAACACACAGTGGCCAAGGAGCGCTCACTCTATGTCACCTTCCATTAGGCTGGGAAATCAAATGTGTGCAATGGGGAAGGAAATGGCCAAGATCACTTTTGGAGTGGCTTTGGTGAATTTCTTGACCTGTGAGGGACTTGTGAGGAAGGGGCTGCAAGACTTAACATTGTGATTAAACACCAGGGTGTTTAAAGGAAAGAACATTACCCAGACCTATGTATTGTATAGTACACAGACCTGCAGGGTCCATAGTCATCCTGGTTATCTTAATACGTTGGCCCCATGTTGGCTGTGTACCTCCCTGTCCCAGACATCACTGACCAACTCGACACAATTTGCACCTAACCAAAAAAATGTAATATTCAGCCCAAAATCTATTCACTTTAGTAAGTTCAACAAGGTCAAGATTTGCTTTCGTAATATACTCGAATTGAAAAATCCATCTTGTGCCCATCTTAGCATGAGGATCAAATTTGTAGTGATTGTTTGCTTTCTTTTTAACCTTTATTCTTACTCAATTGGTTATAGTTGACGAATTTTAGTTCATTGAGTAAATTGATTAATTATTTGATTGAATGGATTATTATATTGTTCATAATAAATAAATTCTGATATAATTCATTAATGCAGGGTTCTAGTCTTTCCGGATAGTATATCTCTGTCAAACTTTCAGTATCTGAGCCAAATGATTTGAAGGGATTTATTTAAATTGGAAATTGTAAAATGTAGCCATGAGTTTCCGGTTGTTGACAAAAGCAATATTCATTTGGCTCACTCACCCAATGCTAATATATTTGTAGATTAAATATTATTCATGCAGAATAGGTCTGTTTATTTACTATAATGTTGCCCAACCAGACAACATTAATTTACCATGCACTCTCTGCCAGTTATTTTAGAACTTCAGTGCACCTAGATTACATTGCCATCATTTCGAGGACACAATCACCTAAGATCACAGCTCACTCAAATCATTCTGTTATTGTATATGGTGTAATGTATTGAAAATTGCAATATTATTAAGTTTTTCATCTGAGTATGAACTGTGATTTTCCAGAGGGGATAGCAGTAATGAGCTTAATGAAATGCTGTTAAATCAAATCCATAACAGCAACAGAAAAGACAGATAAGAGTTTAATATATTTAAATTATTACAAACAGTATGATTTATAATGAAACAGTGACTGAACAAAAATGATCCAGTGTACTTAAGTATTGTTCATTCATAATATTTTGGACAGAGACAGCATTCATCCAACTGAGATAAATAAAGCTTTCATTGTTGTAAACAATAGTCATTAATTTTACATACATAATATATCACACTGAACTTTCAGTGATATATAGGTTAATGTGTTACAACTTGCATTTTCATTTTATAAATTGCTGAAGTTTTAAAAAAACATTTTTTTTTCCTCACTTTCAACTAAAGTTTTTGAGAGATTTTTGTAGTTTAGGGTTGGGACAACAGCAACTCTTGAGTAACCCAAACTGCAGCCAATTCTTCACTTGTGAGTTGGGACAGTGACTTGAAATTTTGGACTGAAGAGGCACAAGTATCAAAGAATTTTGCAGTCAGAAGGCGGCTATTCAGTCTTTATTGCCCGTGCTGCCTCATTTTAGGAGGTCTTATTTCAAATCCCTACACTTTCCCAATACTCTTAATTTTTTTTCTTCATATTTATACACTTAATTTTTGAAAGCTAGAGTGGTTTCTGTTTCAATCACTTTTTCCAGTTGTACGATCTACACAGTCTAAGTTTTCTACTTTTGTTTGTCTCTCCCACCCTGCAGCTTTTCAGTAGATCCAGAGAAGGCTTGTTGGAAAAGCAACCCAGGGGGTGCACTCAGCTGAATTGCTATCTCCTCATTTATCCACCAAGTAGCTGAGTATCTGTTTGCTTCACATGAATAAGGGAACTGCCTCTACACTTTTGGACCTTTGGACACAGGCATCCACTTTTCAGTATCGATATACAATACCAAATGTGCATTTGCTGGGCTATCATGCACAGGCCCATAAAAATAATGTAAAATAAGCCTGTGTAGTATAACATAAATCACTCTCCATACCAATTTAAAATTTTCTTTATGCTCTTCCCAGGTTCTGCTTCCACCTATGCTTCTGGCAGAATATTCCAGTCCTAATAGCACTCTATGATAAAAATATATCCCCTGCACTCCCCACATTGTTGAATTGATCTAGAAACCAGTTCTGTAGAAACCCCTTCTCTTATTTTACATTAACTTTACTTTTACCCCAGTATAACTTATATCTATATATTATCCATTATTATGGCCTTAATATTTATGCATTTTTTTCAAATCTATGTTTTCATCTATTTTCCTTCCTTTATCCAGTGGTCAGTAATTAACTCATCAACTGATAAGTAAAAATGCGAGCGTCAGATGAAGTCAGGACAAGGTTTGGTTGAGGTGCTGCCACAATTAAATGCCTACCAATACTCATTGTTTAGGTTGGTGAACAATGAGAGTCAGGAAAACATTGAACCCCTGGAGTGACTGGTAATTGTTAAAATACTAGTTTGTCTTGGATAGTCACAGTACAGTCATATGAGGATTGTATTACATGGCCATCAGTAGTGGCATTTATAAAATCTGATATGTGATTGAATTTCATTTCAAATTAGAATTGAAATCCAACTTCATTGACAAAATTAGCTTTGTTATGAATAATAAGATATAATTATATCAGGTACAAAGTGCTAATATATTTAAATTAAATATGTAAAGTTAAGATTAAGCCATTTATAATGCCTATCATTGGTGTTAATATTAAGTGGAAATTTTTTCTGGAGGATAATCTGTCCCAAAAGAGCAATGTTCTTGCTTTCTGAAAGCTGCTTGCTCTTTATCGTTTTACTTTGGACTGACTTCAATGTTCAGGATTCGGGAACTGAGCCAGGAAAATCCATTAAACCTCCATTATCAGTGAATACCGGATTTCCTTTGCAGAAGTAACAAATTTGTCTTGTACAATCAATATAATGCAAATACAATTATCTTTATGTCTTGTTTGTATTTTTGTTTTAAAGTCTCTCTTACACATGTCCAGTTTTTCTGCTGTGCTTTAGAGTCATAGAGATATACAGCATAGAAGCAGACCCTTCGGTCCAACTTGTCCATGCCAACCAGATATCCTGAATTATTCTTGTCCCAATTGCCAGCATTAGGTCTATTTCCCTCTAAATCCTTCCCATTCATGTATCCATCCAGATGCCTTTTTGGGGCCTTATAGAAGCTTATAAAATCATGATGGCATGGATAGGGTAAATAGGCAAGGTCTTTTCCCCGGGATGGGGGAGTCCATAACTAGAAGGCATAGGGTTAAGGTATGAAGGGTAAGATATAAAAGGGACCTAAGGGGCAACCTTTTCACGCAGAGGGTGGTACGTGTATATAATGAGCTGCCAGAGGAAGTAGTGGAGGCTGGTTTGATTACAACATTTAAAAGGCATCTGGATGGGTATATGAATAGGAAGGGTTTAGATGGATATGGGCCAAATGCTGGCAAATGGGTCAAGATTTATTTAGGATATCTGGTCAGCATGGATGAGTTGTTTCTGTCCTGTATATCTGTATCACTCTAAATGTTGCAATTGTACCAGCCTCCATCACTTCCATTGACAACTGATTCCATACATGCACCATCCTCTGTGTGAAAATGTTGCCCCTTAGGTCCCTTTTAAATCTTTCCCCTCTCACCTTAAACTTATGCTCTCTAGTGTTGTACTCCCCCACCTCGGGAAAAAGATCTTGGCTATTTACCCTATCTATGCCCCTCATGATTTTATAAACTTCTCTAAGGTCCCTGCTCAGCATCTGATGCTCCAGGGAAAATAGTCCCAGCCTATTCAGCCTCTCTCTATAGCTGAAGCCCTCCAACCCTGGCAACCTTGTAAATCCTTGTAAATCTTTTCTGAATCTTTTCAAATTTCACAACATCCTTCCTATAGCAGGGAAACCAGGACTGAACGCATTATTTCAAAAGTGGCCTAACCAATGTCCTGTACAGCCGCAATATATATTTCCAACTCTATACTCAATGCACAGGCCAGTAAAGGCAAGCATACCAAATGCCTTCTTCACTATTCTGCCTACCTGCTACTTTTGAGAATATATGAACCTGCACTCCAAGGTCTCTTTGTTCAGCAAAACACCTCAGGACCTTACCATTAAGTGTATAAGTCCCGCCCTGATTTGCCTTTCCAAAATGCAACACTTCACAATTATCTAAATTAAACTCCATCTGCTACTCCTCAGCCCACTATCCCATCTGATCTAGGTCCCATTGTACTCTGAGATATCCTTCTTGGCTGCCTACTACACGATCAAGTTTGTTGTCATCTGCAAACGTACTAACCATACCTCCTATGTTCACATCCAAATTATTTATATAAATGACAAAAAGCAGTGGACCCAGCACCGATCCTAGTGGCACACCCCTGGTCACAGGCCTCTGGCCTGAAAAGCAACTCTCCACTACCACTCTTTTTCACCTACCTTCAGCCAGTTCTGTATCCAGTTCTCCCTGTATTCCTTGTGATCTAACCTTGTCAAGCAGAATGTCATGCAGAATGTCAAATGTTTTAGTGAAGTCCATTTAGATCATGTCCACCACTCTGCCTTCATCAATCCTCCTTGTTACTTCTTCAAAAAACCTCAATTAAGTTATTGAGACACGATTTCCCATGCACAAAGCCATGTTGACTATCCCTAATCAATTGCTGCCTTTCCAAATACAGGTAAATCCTGTCTCTTAGGATCTCCTCCAACGACTTGCCCACCGCTGATGTCAGTCTCGCCAGTCTACAGTTCCCTGGCTTTCCCTTACCACCTTTCTTAAATATTGGCACCACATAAGCCAACCTCCATGCTTCCGGCACCTCACCTGTAGCTATCAATAATACGAGTATCTCAGCAAGGGGCCCAGCAATCACTGCCCTAGCTTCTCCAAGAATTTCTTTACTAGACATTTTTACTTCTTGTAGGAAAACAGTTCCAGAAAAGATGATTGATTTTAGTACCTTATTCAGTTGGCCATCTTTGATGAGAAAAGCTGAGACTGTTAGGCAGGATTTTCCTTGGGTGGGCAGGAAATGGAAGTTAGATCAGCACCCTAATATTGACTGGCAAGCACTCTTATTTGGCTGGGAGATAGGTTTGGCAGTGACTTAACAAGTACAGGGAGGAGAATTGAGGCAGGACTGTTCAAGTGTGGGCCATATTTAACTAGAGCAGGTGAGTGGCTGCCATTTCACTGTTTCACATAGACTGAGAAAGTCATGGAATGTCTGAAGAAAGGCAAAGGCCTGGAACTAGAACAGGGTAGCATCTGACTTCTGAATGTGGACCTAGAAGGCCGCTTTAATTCTGTAAATGAGAGGAGGAGGGTTCTTTTCCTTCAGGGCAGGATGAGTCCACTCAACCAGACTAAACAAACCTGATTGGGGATAGTTGACAGTCAGATGCAAGAAAATGGTCTTTACAGATTCGATCCAATGTAGAATAAGATTCTGGCTGAAATAACTCCACAGCGGCTGGTATCCTGTCACCGAGTCTCCCTTTATTTACCCATGGAGAGTTCCTGATACTGATCCAGCTCTCTCACAGCCAGCTCTCAGAGGGAACAGAACCTCTGACACTCCTTTTTATATCTGTCAGTCAGGGTTCCCTGATTCGACCAAATTAACAGCCCTAATCAGCAAACTCATATTCTATGAGGTCCACCTGGCTGACCTTGTTACATTCAGAACACTGGCAAGGTGAGTATATGCCTCAACTCTCAGCATAGGCTTCTGGATATTCAGGAATCTCGGGATGAATGCTGCTCCTAAATATGGGAACAGGATGTGCACAGGCTACTTTGAGTCTCAGAATGGCTCAAAATGGCTAAGAACATGTAACCATTCAGTCATGCAGCTTTTATTGAACATAGGAGCAACCAGCACAGAGGACAGCAATGCCATTTATCTCTTTTTTTCCCTTAGAAGACAAACATTCACACAATGCCGGGACAGTGCAAAGACTGCAAGCAGGTTCCCTATCTTCACATTATCACCACCGTGGAGGAGGAAGTCATGAACGTCTCGACGGTTGCAGAACAAGCAAACATTGGGAAATGTGGGATGCACATTCACGGTGGAAATGGTACTGAATGCATTCGGTAAGTGGGTGTGTTGCACTCCACTCTGACAGCAAATTGAAACCAAGTCTCACTGGGGAAGTTTCAGTTCTGCAGATGTTACAGCTCTTCAAGCCAATCTCCCGTAATCACTTTGTGTGCCTCTCACAGGTGCGAAGCTCAGAAAAAGGAAACAGATTCCTTCACCCTCACTGTCCCATACATTTAGATCGGGTGGCTACAGTGTGGACCAAAGCACAAGTATGTAGGAGAAGGGCTAGAGATAGGATCAACTGTGTTCAGTCTTCCCTTGGAGGATGGAGGAGAGACAAAGTCCTACTCAGGTGGGCACAGAGTGTTGGTCTACTCCTCAGTCACCTCCAATACCCAATCCCTTTCTCATTACACCATTCCATGCAAACATAGAGTGTATATTACCTACCCTTTTACCTCCTCACTCCTCACCATCCAGGACCCACTCCTTTCAGGTGAACCAGCAATTTATGCATATTATATTTGCCGTTCAAAATGTGGTAATTTGCACATTGGGAAGACCAATGACTCGATGCAGATTGGAGAACACCTATTTTCAATCTGGAAGCAAGACCCCAAGCTTCTGGTGGCTGACATTTTAAGTTTGTACTTTGCTCTCACGCTGACATTTCTGTTCTCAGTCTGCTACACTGTACCAGTGAAATTCAATAAAAGATTGTGGAACAGCATCTCACTTTTCAATTATATGCTTTACATCGTTCTGGACTTAGCACTGAGTTCAGCAATTTCAGGCCATGATCTCTGGCCCATTTTTTTACTTGTCTGTTTTGGTTTGTCTCTTATTTTTACTTTCATATAGCATAGCCCCAGGTATAGCTTTTGTTTCTTTGTTTATTTTTTGCCCTATTCCCAATACTTTTGGCTGTATAAAATAATGTCAGAAGTCAGACAACACCAGGTTATAGTCCAACAAGTTTATTTGACATCACAAGCTTTCAAAGCATTGCTCTTTCGTCAGGTGAAGTGAGAGAGAAGCATATAGGCACAGAATTTATAGGCAAAGAGATCAATGGGCAGAGAGATGAAAAGATCATACAAAGTGGAGTGTCGACAGGCCAAATAATAGGTCTCTGCAGGTGATCAAGAGTGTCAGACGGTGTGAGTAAAGTGTCAACAGCTGAATAGCAAGCGAAGCGATGACCTATAATCCAATTAAATGAGGTAGAGAGATAATTACAAAAAATTAAAAATAAAATGGTACTGCGGACAAACCAGTTGACTGGAATAACATGATAGGTAGAAGAGTCACATGCCAAAGGTCTAACCAGAGTAATAAGTAATCCAAAACTATGCAAACTAATTAATGTAGAGAGATCATAAGAATTTATCAAGGTGCTGGCATCAAAACAGGACAGTAAGGAAGATTTTACAGATACAGATGTATGGTGGGGTCACATGTAACACGACATGAACCCAATATCACAGTTGAGGCCACATTCATGGCTATGGAGCTTGGCTATCAGTTTCTGCTTGGCGATTCTGTGTGTTTCTTGAAGGCCGCCTTGGAGGACACGTACCGAAAGATCAGAGGCTGAATGTCCTTAACTGCTGAAGTGTACTTCAACTGGGAGGGAACATTCCTGCCTGGTGACTGTTGCACACTGTCCATTCATCCATTGTCGTAGCATCTGCACGGTTTCGCCAATATACCATTCCTCTGGCTCTCCACTGTTTTTCACTGTATCACTGATCTTCGTCTTGGCTTTAATACAGCTCAAAACTAATTACATTCCTTAAAATTTCCATGTCCTGATGAAAGGTCCCTGACTGAAACTTTGTGCAGAATTTTATAGTGGTCTAAGTAACATGGGCTTGGCACGATTTGTGACAGGTTGGACAAGATGACCAGTAAGGATGACCTCAACTTTGGGAGATTCTCACTCGACTTTTTATGCTTTTGATGAGCGGTGTGGTGAATTATGGGAGATTATTGCTGGTTAAAAACCTTATTAACGGTCCAACTCACCCCATTAATATTCACGTTCCTATCTAACCAAACATGCCAAACAAACTCGCCATTGAGAAAACTTGACATAGGTATCAGGGTGGGTACCTGGTAGATTCATCTCACTGTTTGATTCATCGAGTCTCTATGTAGTGTAGTACCAAACAGCATCTCAGGACACAATCCACAGGCATCAACTTAACAGACGCCTCACCCAGCGATATTGATTACTAGCACTTGCCAATCTCTCAATGACATCCTGGTAGCTCTCCAATATACTTGCAGGATTCTACTAAAGCACAGACCTGCATTGCAGTGTGTACCAGTAACTAGCACTAAAAGGCTGCTGCAGGACAATTTGTGAGCATGGACAGGGACCCAGCTCATATACTGGACAAAGTTGCATCTCATGGTTGTTCAATTACTCTCCAAGACCTCATCAGTTAGCACCCATCAGTATGTTTGCACTGCCTATGATTTCCATACTTTGCTGTGCCAGTTAGCACAGTCACACAATCATACAGCTTGTCTTCTGGTCAGCAATCCTCAATCATGGGGGCATACATCTTTGATGTATGGCAGTCTGCGATGTCAATCTCATGCTGCTCCATGTGCCAGCAGCTTATATGGCAAACACATTGCAGGTGCAGCAAGCAGGAAGCCTTGTTTCAAAGTCTTAGGGGAGTGGTCCCCACTGAAGTCCATGGAAGCATCATAAATTAGGTGGTCCCAGCATGGGAGGTTAAGGACAGCCTCTGACACCAGTCCAGGGGATTGGTCACAATCAGTCGTCCATTTGGGGTGTTTGCTGTCAGGGGTCCTCTGTCTAATGAAAGACTAAGAGTCTGGGGAGTGAGTCACAGTCAGCCCTGTGGCTGTACAGTGGCCAGTCTGGGCAGTTGGGCTAATGTTGTTGGGATGATATACAGCCATCACTCAAGCATCTAGGCAATTCTCGTCTGGGACTGTCCTCTTTGGTTGTTAAAGTGGGTGGGCCATAGTCAGTCCTTCAGATTCATCCACAGAAACTAAGGGAAAGTAGGGTGGCAGGAGAAGACAGCAAGTTATTCTTCAAGAGTGGGGACTGCAGGCTGAGGAGAAAGTGGCAGATAACAACTGTGAAGGGGGGATATGGTAAAGCATGGATGGGAAGGGGATCACGCAGTAGGGTGCTTTGTTCCACTGTCAGGAGTACTCTGACTTAAAGGGCAAGAAAGTGTATGACCATGGTTACTTCACATGCCCATGGCTGAGGACGGAGAAAGATGGGCAGGCACAGGCTCCTGTAAACAGGTTGGAAAGGAACATGGGGAGGTGTGAAGCCTGTAGGGTTCACTGTAGGGGATTAACAGATTTGGGGCACACCATCACATTGAGCCTGGAAGCCACTGGCCATGCTCACTGTCACTTTTCACTGTGCTGAAAATTGAGGGAGTGCAACAGGGAAGAAAATGGCTGCAAAGTGTTTCTGCTTGTGGGAGGGATCTTCAAGGGAAATAACATGGCTCACAGTGATGCACCATACAGGACCCAGGCCTGCAGGATTCCTAATCCCTGGTCAACCAAATGCACTGTCCCCCTGTTTTGCTATGCTACCTCCCTGACCCAGGCATTGTTGACCAACTCATTCACAACACTTTTGGACATAGAGGCCAGGGAAAGAATGAGGATAAAAACAGAAATTGCTGGAAAAGCTCAGCAGGTCTGGTGGCATCTGTGGAGAGAAATCAGAGTTAAAGTTTTGGACCTAGTGATCCTTCTTCAGAACTGATGATAGCTAGGAAAACGTCGCAGAAGATAGGGTCGGGGAGGGGGTAAAAAATAAATGATACGGTGGAGATAGAACCTAAAGATAGAGAAGAACAGATGGACAAACAAAAGAGAGGATAACGATCCAGGTAGGAGAGTGAATAGCTACTAATGGAGATTGTTAGTGGCTAACAATAGGTTGTGTGTAATTTCCTGACTATGTGATAACAAGGCCTGGTGTGCGCGATGCTGGCAAACCTGCTGAACTTTTCCAGCAATTTCTGTTTTTGTTTTTGATTAAAAAAATCGAGTTCGCAGTGAAAGAATCAGACATTCTCCCTGGGAGATACAATGAAGCCCAGGCCAAGGTAAAGGGAGTTTTAAATAAAAGTCGGAACTTCCATTTGCAGCCACCCGGAACTTGAACAAGCCGGACGGACCGGAAACAGCTAGTGCTTGGAAAGTTGGATATATTCTGCAGTGGAGAGATAAAGTATTGATTCACTAATGTGGTGGGGAACGGCAGGTTGGTTTCTCAGTTTGATTTATTGAATTTGTTGGGGGGGGGCTCGGGTTTTAATGCAGAATTTCCTCCTCGTTGCCTCCTCAATGGGAATGGGTTCACCCACAGCTTGTCCCTTTCCTCGAAACATTTAGGTTCAGCTCCGGCCCCGTGACTGGAGCAGGATTCGTGCCTTGACTCCGCTGTATTTCCTCCAGTGTTCAGTATGGTGGGATCACTCGCTCCCAAGCGAGTGAAGAGAAACAGTTATTACAGTTACTTCTTGAAGAAGTGATGCTTGACCCGAAACGTTAACTCTCTTTCTATCTCCAGACTTGCTGAGTTTTTTTTTTCAGCACTTTTTTAATTTAAGATTTTAAGCACACGCAGTATTTTGTATTTCTTACAATACCGAATCAGTCTTTAAGCGGAGTTCGCTGATCCGAACGGTGACATTACAATTGGTCTTAACGGAGGAGTTTAGGAAGTGGGGAAATTATCCAGGATTATCAATCACTTCAATTGGTTTCAGCTGGAAGTTGCACTTCTGTTTATCAAGCTTAGTTGTGATGCTTACTGTGTGCTAACACTCCAAGTCGAGGGAGTCTAATAGATGTCAGATGTCCATTAAATGATATTTTATGCCTGTGGATATAGACTCCTGCATGTATCTGCACCTCCAAGATAATGGTGTAGAAAGTGGCGAAAACAGGAGTTAGCAAGAAAAATCCTTGTTTAAGATGAAATAATGTTGCATTGCAAAACATTCAAGATCCTTAATGTGGTGCTACTGAGTCTTAAATTTCTACAGGAATTTTTTTTTAACTAATTGCTTGTAGTTTTGATAAATGGAGACAACTGTGAGAGCTTTATCCATTGGGTTTTGAATTCAATGTTTTGGAACTGGATGAGTGTGTGAATACTGCTGTCATTTGAGCTGCAGTGCCATCTAATGCCAGGTATCAATAAGTTTACAATAATGAAGATTAATCAGAAATTAGCTGCAAATCTGGGCACAAAAAGAATTAAAAATCTGACCTCATTTTTCAGTCATAGTCATACAGCACAGAAGCAGATCCTTCGGTCTAAAAAGTCCATGCCAACCGTGTTCCCAAACTAAGCTAGTCCCACCTGCTTGCTCCTGGCCCATGTCCCTCCAAACCTTTTCTATTCATCTACTTGTCCAAATGTCTTTTAATTGTTGTCACTGTACCCATATCCACTGTTTCCTCAAGTAGTTCATTCCACATGCAAACCATCCTCTGTATTAAAAAAAAAATTTGCCCCCATGTCTTTTTTTAAATGTCACTCCTCAAAAATGTGCCCCTAGTCTTGAAAACCCCCTCCTAGGGAGAAGACAACTACTATTAACTTGATCTATACTCCACGTTATTTTATAAACTTCTAATCAGGTCACCTCTCAACACTCCAGTCAAAAAAGTCCCAGCCTTTCTTTAACTCAAACCTTCCAT